GGGGGGGGGGGGTAGTTGGTTTCAGAGCAGAATAAAGCCGACGGTGTTGACTGTGATTCGAGCCTCGAGGTGTATTTGTGGAAGGCACTTGGCTCGGGCGCGACTTCCAAACTAAAGCAACTAGTCCGTTCAACTACAAACGCTTTGAATGCTTCGAATATCGCTTGCAGCCGAATGTAGCTCTTGAATCTGTTCTGAGCTTGTCGGCCTCGGTCTATGTGTACGAGACGCTGAACCTTCAGCGCCGGAAACTCGAATCTCCATCCAGATGTCAACAGTGGGCGGAAGGGCAAAAATCAAAGCGTGTCCGGCAAAGCAGCAATGCCTTTACCCTCCAACCAGCACAAGACGGTCATGAAGGTGTCGCAAAAAACCAACCGCATTAGACAAGCATGGGGGTAAGCAAGACTAGCACGTCTATGAACTCTTCCGGGTTCTTTGTATAGAGCAATCCAGCCTTATGTCCCCACGTTGGCTGAACTCTTGACTGAAGAGTCAAGACCACGTACTCCGTAGTACTAAGTTACTACTACACTCGACCCCCGGCCACAACCAAACACCAGAAATTTCTCCAGGCGATTTACATATTAACAAGGTCGATGATAGATGAAAGACTCTTTTGATCGATCTAGACCATCTAGATAGGTATTCCATTCGTACCAATTCAGTGCATCTGGTAACTATATCCCAACAGTCAGCGGAACTCAAGAACTTCCCCCGCATCACCGTTTTCCCCAACATTAGCATCGAAACGACCAACATTGCTCTAGACCAGCAGACCAAAAGTCCCAAGCCTCACATGCACGTTGCCATGACGAGCCTCAGCACCCCCATCACCACCCAATCCCGTCCGACTCCACAGATAAGCCCTGCAGAGGGCGCCAGACCTGAGCTAACATCTCGCGACCCTGTCAGCGCCATCGTCGCTTCCCCGCTGTTTCTTTCCTATTTACGGTCCCAGTACCCGTTTTCGTGCTGAAGCCTCGTCAGCTCGCACGCAACAAATTGCGCTCATGAGGCAAGCTGTTGGCGTCGTCTCCCGCTCCAACGACCACACCCGGCACCAACGAATATTTCCTCTTTTAATGGTGCGAAGTCGGGAGGAGTCCATTGGGTTACTGCAGTGATTAGTCACTGCAAAGGTACATGGCATCTTGTATGGCATCTTGTATGGCATCTTGTATGGCATCTTGTATGGCATCTTGTATGGCATCTTGTATGGCATCTTGTATGGCATCTACGGAGCATTGCTGCTTTTTCGGCCGGAGAGAAACAAGGAATATTAGCCCCATCTATGGTCCGGTTGCCTTGCCCGGCAACGGCACTCCGGGTCGCGTACCCACTTTCGGCCGATGGACAACCTGCTGCCTCAAAGTCTGAAAGATATAAAATTATCATTGTGTGCCGCTTTGCACAGTGTATATGCCCGGACAAGCACGCTATCATGCCATCGTGCCTATATGCTCCTTGGATGTCGACCATATCGAATTCTACTAGCTTCGTGTGTTTGTTGTTTCCGTCCTCCTCGGATATATCCTGTTCCTCTAAGAGCCTAGCATTTGCTCTCACACAATTGACGTCTTCGCTCAGAAACGGGCTTTCCAGAAGCATGAAGCAAATGAGCCATATGTTCCCTCCCCTCTAACAGTGTATGCTTTCCGCTCAAGTCATAGCCAGCCACCACACAGCCTGTCACCATTTCGACAAAGGAAATGCGCTGTCCCCAAAGACGGTCTGCCCGCAGGTACAAGGCAGCGGGCAGTCATCGGGGCACGTCGCCCGAAGCGTAGTCGGTTGATTGGCCTTCTTATACGTCCATTTTACTCAATTGGCTCGTCGTCCCTCCAATAATTCTCATTGTAATCCGAGGACGGACTTCGAATTCTCATACACCACCCACGTGATGCTCAATGCAGGTGCAACCTTGAGCAAGTTTGGCGTCAATCCCTTATAGAGACCACGATATCCCTCCCTTTGAATGGTCTTTTGAGTCACATCCCATATACCAGTATACGTTGCTCGGTGCATCACGGTTCCTTGTGTCTGCAAGCGTGTTCGTACCACATTGAGCGGGTATACAACCGTGGCACCAATCGCCCCAGATGTCGCACCGATCATGCCCGTGGCGATGTTGCCAGGGTTCGCATCCTCCTCATGACAACCGGCATGCCTAGCGTAGTGCGTCCGATATGAATTTTTTAGCAGCTCAAACATGGCCATGTCTATGGCACTGTACGGGAACATGCCCACGAGACCCATAGTCACACCACGGTAACACGCTCGAATGCCGCCATCAGCGTACATCTTAACAGCCGTCTGGCGGACCAATGCGCTGCCCGTTAGTCCTCCTTTAACAGTCTCACACTGCAAGCGAAATTTCAGGGTATCTAGTGGATAAACGCAAAACCTACCACGCAAGCACGCGATTAGCACAATCCAATTTTGACCCGATTTGAGACCTTGCTCCGTTTCGACCAAGAGACCATTCAAAACTTACTGTGCAATCATGCCAGCAACACCGCCTGCGGTGAATTTTGAATACGAGTTGATATGTCTGGGGTCACCATGGCCTTCAAAGTTGGCCAGAGCTCGCTTGGCTGCTTCGTACGACCCAAATTTGATGGCTGTTTCGGGCATAATTTTGAGCACATTCAGACCGTTGCCTGCAAAGCGGTGCATGTCAGCATTTACCGCCATGTAACAATCCACCCAGCGACAACTCACCGGCAAAGAAACTTCTGATACCGCCGTTGCGGAACAAGTCTTTGACGGCGTTGCTGATAGGTCTAAGCGCATTCTTTACCGCCGCAATAGGGCGACGTTGCTTGATGGCGGCTACCGCAGTCTCGGAGCTGGTGCTGGTGTTGACCAGCAAATAGACCTTTAATCGGTCGAGCGGCGCGGTGGCCGTACGAGAGACTCCGCCGGCGATGGCACCCGATAGGAAGTAACCTGGATCAGGAGCAAAATCTGTCAGTTTGAACTTCTTTTGGGCCCTGCTTTCAACTCCTGCCGAATATTGTGGCGGTTCTTCCATGAGCTGTTCTGAGGTGCCATCGCCAACTCGCTGTGTAGACTTTGTGGATTTTAAAGGTTCTAATCGTGTGGGTTTTGTTGCGACTAACCGTCGCCGCTGTGTGGTCTTATGTGTGATACTGTCGCCGTCTTCATCTGCACTCGCCACGGCGTTCACTCCAGGTTTTGATAGGACCTGCACAGCGTCTGTTTGTATGTGTGCGTCTGTAGTTGTCGTGTTGTTGTCTTGTGTGGGAGCTGCAGGAGACCCAGCTGGTATTGTCGCAGGAGGTAAAGGAGACGCGACCCTAACTAGGGAGCCGAAAAGAGAATAGAAAAGAGAGCTAGATGATAACTCATCCGTACCTAAACCTTCCAAAGTTTCGTCACTGACAAGAGAATCTCCCTCCGGTGTGACATTGACGACGGAATCATAGTAGGATAGGACGGCTTGGAGTTGGGAGTCGTGTTCACAGGCTGGCATGAACAGGAGAAAGTTTCTGTAAAAGCATCAGTGCTGTACGCCATTTTGTTGGTTTTGTCTCAAAGTCACTCGGTCCCATCTTCTGCCAATATGATAGAGACAGACTGCCAGAATGGACAAGTTCAACTGATAGTGTGGTGAGTGATGCTGCCCCACGACCTCATCACCACCGGCTCACTTCGGCACATGACTTGAATGTCATGAGGGATGACGAGTCACCTTGCTCTCCGGGGTACAAATCACCACAGAAAAAGGTCGCATAAATCCAGAAGCCAAGTTCAAGGTGTGACTTACCGCCATTCTTCAAAACTGACAAATCCATCATTATTCCTATCCAAGTCGTGGAAGAAGTCGGCAACTCGACGGTTTGAAACGCTCAGACCGGCTGTGCGAAAGGCCGTTTGGAGCTCGGCGGCGTCAAGTTTGCCGTTGCCATCCTTATCTATGGCCTGAAAAAGCAAAAACAACTGTCGGTCGGTTTTCTCGACGAATTTGCGAAACTCTACGAGTTACGGAGTATAAACATTAGCATGTTCGTTGCCAGAGCTCTGAGCTTGACGCGATTCTGGATTTGCAGTGGGGACATGGCAATAGCTGCTGGAGACAAGGAGGGGGGAGGGAAAAAAGAAGAAGAAAAAAAAAATGAAACGGCATCTCGAGGTGGCAAAACATACCTTCATATTGAATTTTGCCATCGTGGTTCGTATCGACTTCCTTCATAATCTGTTTTAACAGATGATTGGCATTCTTCAAAGCTGTTTGGTGCGCGCACATGCGTCCATGGTCAGCGGACAAAGCTCCCGCGCATGCCGAAAGCGACATGATGGTTGGATGCAAGCTCACGGTGATCAATGCGCCGAAAACCCTTCTGTAGGCCCTTCAAGTCCAATTCCCCCTTCCCGGTAGGGTCCAGTCTGGACCAGAGACGCTCAACTCTGGCATCGCGTTCGTTGGGCGACTCTCCAAACCGTCGCTCGGCGTCGGTGACGACTTTGGTGGCGCTCATGGCGACGGCATCGAGTATGCGAGCGGCGTCGTGCAGCTAGGGGCAGCGACGGAGGATTGGATGCAACAGTCGCTCGCGCGTGATGGAATTGGCGATTTATTGTTGTAATAACAGCATCGTAGGACACAAGGGGTGGTTGGTGCAATGGGAGGAGGGAGAGCACAGAGGCAGCAAGCAAGGTGAATAATAATAATAATAGTAATGCAGCACAGTGAGTGACGTTGGACTGGAGGCGCCAGGCGGCGGCGGAGAAACTGAGCTCGAGAGCGAGTTCTTGGTCAACTTTGACTGGCTATCTGGACCCGAAATCATGGAAACGTGAGATGGCAGGCAGTTCTTTCCTCTGTTCCCTATCAATCCGAGAGTTGACTAGGTCTCAGACACCCAGGCTCCGCTATAATAGGGAGTCGCGGCAAATCACAGCAGGCGAATTAGCAGCACTGAGGACGGCAAAAGAGGTCAACTGCACCAGTGGACCAGACTTCAATTGATGTCAATGGTCAATGAGAGGAGTGGCTGGGAAGGGGGCCGCTGGGGGAGCGCTGCTCAGGCGCTCAGGCGCTCAGTTGGCCCGCTGGAGCATGCTGGTCTTTTAGGTCTTTTAGTGCTCCGAGGCTCCAGCCCATTGTTTGATGCCCGCTCAGCTTTGGAAACTGAGCCACCAGACATCTCAAGCCTCGTGTGGCGCCATCCGCATCACCTCCCTCGAAATGTCTCCGATGTAATAAACGACATCGGCATCCCGCTCGACTTCATCTCCTCCCACTGCTCTGCTCCCAGAGAGTCTGCGGGCTGCCTCTACGGCTCTGGTCCTTTGCGAAAATGTCCGCCAACTACTGGGACTCGACGCAGAGGCGGCATTGGCTATTTACCAAGGATCAGCTGTCCACCATGCGTCAGAAGCTCGACGATGACAATGCTGACCTCGTGCGCATGTTTCCCTTGCCGCAGCCACGCCATCTTGCCATATATTTCAATCAGCGTGAGTCTGTTTTCCTTTCCTTCTCCTTCTCCTTCTTCTTCCTTGTTCATTATTTTATTCATTTATTTATTCATTCCTCACTGCGGCCCCGTGTGCCATACATTCCGCTGACCTCCCATTCAGAACTACTGCGTCTGGCAAAACGGCTCAGCATCCGCCAACAGGCTATGGCGACTGCGCAAGTCTACCTGAAGCGATTCTACATCAAGGTCCCCGTCCGATCTACGAACCCATACCTCGTCATCACAACTGCCCTCTATCTGGCCTGCAAGATGGAAGAGGCACCGCAGCACATTCGGCTTATCGTGACCGAGGCGAGGCAGCTCTGGCAAGATTTCATCGGCCTAGATACATCCAAGATCGGAGAATGCGAGTTCTATCTAATCAGTGAAATGAGCTCGCAGCTCATTGTCCACCAGCCATACAGAACATTGACGTCGCTGCGAACGGAATTGTCACTGGTAGATGAAGACGTGCAACTCGCACGCTCCGTCATCAACGACTCCTTCAACTGCGACTTGCCCCTCCTCTGCGCGCCGCACACCATCGCCCTCGTTGCCATCTTACTCGCCCTCGTCCTTCGGCCCAATTCCACCGCCCCCGGCCAGGCAGGATCGGGCTCTGCCGCCGCCGCCGGTCTTGCAGCCGCCCAGGCAGCCCTCGCCCAAGCCGCAAGGGGCAACGGCGGCAACAATATCCACGGCTTGCCTGATCCTCCTTCAGCTTCCGAATCCAAGGAGAAGCAGCAGGAAGCCAGGATATCCAGGGTGCAGCATTTCGCCGCCTGGCTGGCGGAAAGTAGTGTTGATATCGCGGCCATGGTTGACGCTACCCAGGAGATGATTTCATTATACGAGTTTTACGAGCAGTACAATGAGAAATTGACCCGAGAGCAAATTAATCGCTTTGTCAAGGCCCGAGGTTTGGATAAATAGAGGCTCTAATAACGTCTTTGTCAGCTTTCGCCTCTTCTTTTTCTTTTTTCTTTTTTTTTTTTAATATCATTTGTCTATTTGCTTTTAGAGTATTCGTTTCGGCCTTGGTGTTTCTAGGATTTAGAGCAAAAAGACGGGGGTTTATGAGAATCATGGCGGGTATTGCATCTTTAGAAAGGAACAGACGGTGTCACGGCGTCACGACTAACGACGAACGGTTTTTTTCTAAATTCACACTTTAGGGTTGTGAGGCTTCGATATCATCTCACAGCGATACATCTTTCAATTGGCAAGACGGCACAATCTAATCTATTGTTCCAATGGTCTGCCCCTCGTCCCCCCTTTTTTTAATTTTGTCCTCCCTCCTCTAGTGCATATCAGGCCAGTCTACCTCTTGGTGTCTATCATCGCTTCCAAGCCGCCATGGCAACATCAGCAACCTCCTTTCCCTTCGAAATGGCAATCTCATGACCGCCCTTGAGAACTCTAATATCGACAGCCTCCTCGCCCAGCACGGCAAATGAATCGGCAATCCACTCCTCCTTGACCACAATCGGATCTCTCTCCGCCAGAATCAAGCATATCCTACCTCCTTCCAAACCCGGCACCTGTTCATCCTGCCTCCTCAAAGCAAGCTGTTCACTAAGTCGCCTCCATACTCCCTCATGCTGTCCATAGATGGGGGCGTTTCTAATGGTGCTCATGTACGCGGGTACAAAGCCGGCGTTATTCCGCAGCTGCCATCTGACCACGTCCCCGACTTTGGGGCCGGACGCATCCCCCGCGCAAACGGGGACTTGGTCAAAGTCCACGTCTTGCGAGTCGTCGCCGTCAACGTTGTTGACGCTAGTGTCGGGGATGTCGGCGCTGGCCGTGCCTGGCCGGGGTTCAAGGCGGCGTCTGGCGAGGCCGTTGACGAGCCAGGAGGGGAGGAGGCCCTCGGAGTACAGGATGCGCGATTTGAGACTGACGTGGGATGGGCGGACGAGACCGCCGGGGCAGATCAAGGTTGCGGAGCGGAGGAGATTGGCATGGTAGGCGGCGAAGGCGGCGGCGAGGGCGCCGCCTAGGGAGTAGCCCACGATGTGGAAGGAGGATGAGCCGGTCCAGGGGATGCGGGACGAGGCGAGGACGAGGAGGATCTGACTGGTGTACAGACGGTCATCGTAAGGGAGATCGCTGGGGGAGTCTGAGTATCCTCTGCCGAATAAGTCTGTATGGCATGGTTAGATGAGCGCGCGCCCGATTCTGACATGTAAAAGCGGACAGAAGATGACTTTTTTGATTTTGTGTCTTGCAGACTTGATCTTTACGGGGGATTATAGCCAGCAGTCTAACAGAAAAACAGTAGTGTGTCGCGATGGAAAGTGGTAGGCTCACCGAAAAGCATCACTCTACACCCCTTCTTGACAAACTCCCGCGCCATATCTCCCAAGGCAACACACGGCGTCCCGATGCCATGCAGCAACAGCACCTTTTCGCCGTCGTCGGGACCCCACTCAAACACCTTTATCGTCCCGTACGCAGTTTCCACATCCCTCCCGCCGGGAAACACATCTGGCGCATACGACAGTGACAACTTGTTCCTGGGCGCCGGCGAGGAGGCCGAAGCCGAATCTGCTGATGCCAGCTTCGCCGCCTGCCTGGCCTTGGAACAAATCACTCTTCTCGGTTTCACGGGGTCACCGGGGCACAGGACGGGCCGTAGATACCAAGATACCGAGAGACATGCCGCGGCTGTGAGGACGGCGTAGTCGATTGTGCGGGATGTGCGGTGCTCATAGTTGAACTGGGGCATGGCCGAAATTCCGCTTTAGACACGGTGCTGTTTTTTTTTTTTTTTTTTTTTTTTTTTCGTGCAATGGGATTTATTTTCAGGGATACGAGTGGAAACAGTGTCAAAATCACTTTGCATAGCGCGTGCATGTCATCTCGAGTTGAGTGAGGTTGTCGCCGAGGAGGTTGAAGCTCAGACCCCCACCACCGGCTCTGGCTTGGCTTGTTCCTCGGGGTCCGGGAGGTTCCGCCTGCCAGGGACGGATGGCGTGCTTCTAGACGAAGATGTTATTGCCTCTTGCTGCGAAAATACTACTGAGAGATGGATGTGGAGGATGTAAATGGCTGGCGTAGCCACGACCTTGACGTCGAAACATCATGCATCTACCAGTTGTCATTTCCCTACGGAGTACTCCGTACAAAGCGATGAGATGTGCTTTTTTGGGCGGCGAATCATGCGACTACCTCAATGCTCAGCACCTTCGCAACATGCCCGGTGGTGTCTGGTACTCCGCCATCGTCTTCCAGTTTCAACCTCACCGTCAGCCTGGGAGCATTGCATGTGGCTGGGGCTCGCTCCATCTAGCTCGTCCTCCAAACTCCTGAATTTGCATTGTGAGGCTGGTGTTTGGCACCTGAAGGAGGCTTGGGCTGCACGACACCACCCTCACCAACCTCCCTTCCAGCTTACAATCGACGTGGGATAAAGCGGCGTGAGTGCTGGGACCATGCGGATTGGTTAATGCCAGCTCCATGGCCAAAAAGGCCCTTCACTTCTTTGCAGCGGCCTGGCTAGGGTCTTGTTTGTCGTAGAAGAGACTGACACGGTGATGAGGCACGCCTAGTAGACGAACCAACAAACCTCCATACAACTCACAGTACGGAGTACGGAGTATTAATACTCTGTGTACGGAGTACGGAGTATGTACTCTGCATGTGCAAGCAGCACCCTTGCCAACTGAGCCACAAGCCTCAACAAAGAGCGGTGTACAACTTAAAGCTGGTCGCTAGTGGATTTGGACATTGTGCATGACTGATCTGCCTTCCAATGGAAAAGTTCTTCTTGCTTGAACTTTGCTCCGGGATATGTTCTTAAATGTTCCCAGACAGGGTTAAATAGCCTCTAATATAAACGAGTTGAGGTTTCGAAATTTACATTTTTCCCACGCTGTGTCCTCTCTTGGATCCCAGAGGCAATAGCTTAGCGGGAGGGGAAGATATCATTGCTCGGTACGTAGTAGCATCGATAAGGAGTGATAAGCCACGAGGCGATTGATAGGGTCCCGAGAGTGAGTGATAACCGACCG